GTTGATGATGAGGTGTATACATGTTTGTTAACAGGTGATGATGGGGTGTATTTGTGTTTGTTAACAGGTGATGATAGGGTGTATATATGTTTGTTAACAGGTGATGATGAGGTGTATATATGTGTGTGAATATATGATGATGGGGTGTATATGTATTTGTGAACAGGTGTATTCATGTGTGAAAACAGGTGATGGTGGGGTGTATATATATGTGTGAACAGGTGATGATGGGGTGTGTACATGTGTCTTATACTTCATTCAACAGGTGATTATGAAGTGTATATATGTTTGTTATCAGGTGATGATGAGGTGTATACATGTTTGTTAACAGGTGATGATTGGGTGTGTATAAATGTGTTAACAGGTGATGATGGGATATATGTGTGTACAGGTGATTTGTTTATAAGTTTATATTGATGACACATACGTACGTGCTTCTGATGTCCAGGTTTATGATGTAGTGATCTCGTACAAGACAAACTGAGGTTTGTGTGTGTACGCCCATATGTATGTGTGTCGTTCTATTACACACTGCTGTTCATGTAAGTACGTATGCACGTGTCCCCAACCGACTATAACCATATGTCCCATTCCATGGTGCATTATATATGCAATGTATAGCAATACAAGGCATCTCCACTGTGTGTGTTCTGAGTACATGGTACATTATACATGCATTGTATAGCAATACAAGGTATCTCCACTGTGTGTGTTCTGTGGCGTCTAGAATGCAGCGTCAGCCTCATATCGAAAGTGGGCGATGACTGGTCACTTTGTTGTCCACACATTAACTATCATGCTATTGTTATGGGATATCAATCTATAGTTCGATCTATAAATAGTATCTGCTGGCACAAAAGCGCGTTAGCTCAGAAGTGGACTCGCACGTGCATGCGATTGGACGACAAAACACAAACCTGAGTGGTATAGTCATGTCAACACGCATCAGCCGTCTCACATACACCTGTGTGGGATTGCATACGAGTTGTCCGTGTGGGTAGAGTTTTCAATGCACGTTAAACCCTAAACCCTAAAACTCTGGACTACCCCCGTGTAGGTAGCGATCAAGATGAACATTCCGGATGTGAAGGCTGTGGTGGATACCGTGTCCTTGAGGCGACGGGATGGGACGCACTTCAGAGCCAGGATATCTGCCAGTAAAGTATGTAGGAGCTATTTAAGTAGAGTATGTAGTAGCTAGCTTAAGTAGAGTATGTACGTTGTAGTCATGTAAGTATAATATGTACATTGTAGCTATGTAAGTAAATATATGGTGGCTATTTTAAGTAGAGTATATGGTAGCTATTTTAAGTAGAGTATATGGTAGCTATTTTAAGTAGAGTATATGGTAGCTATTTAAGTAAAATATGTAGTAGCTATCTGAAGTAGAGTATGTACGTTCTAGCCATTTGAATATAATATGTATGAACACCGCCAAATGATCTTCCGTATTGCTACTCATGTCTACTCGTCGTTTCTACCTGCCGCGTTCTCGCTGACACAGGTTGTGGACAATACACCCATACCCATATGCCTAGTGATAATTGTGTTACCAGAAACCAATCCACATCCAGACATCGTTCAACCTAATGTGGAGATTGAGCCGCGCAATAAGGAGCAGACAGCGTCTTCTGGCTAGGGATGTGAAGTATATTGAATATTAAAGCTCAAATATGCGTAAAAAAAACTCTGGCTTGCATATGCAATATCATTCAATATCCAATCAACCCCACAAATGATTTTGTATGTATGTTGTTAAGGCGCACTTAAGTACTGTAGCATACAATAGTCGTACAGACTCGACTATTCACGTGGATATGTTGTTGTGAATACTTTTTATTTATCTTGTGCTATTTTAAAAGCGGATCAATATCTATAGACCTCTGCTCAATAAGTACGTAAACTTCAAAAGTGCTTGTAAGTTCGGTGAATAGAATACCTCCAGCTTACAATTCATACCGTAATACGTATATACCTCACCGTGTATCTGCATAAGTCAATACATACTATTCTTTTACGAATTTGATTCTGATATATAAGTGGCCTGTGGTATTTACGGTAGAAGTGGTTGCTTAAAACTGACTAAATTTATTATCAGTCACAGCCTTACATAGACCTCACACAGGACATAAAGTCAACACTGGTCTTGAATCCTTCAGTTCATAGCCCACTCTAAAAACTTTAATAATAATAAAAGGACCTTGAATTTCATATCCTTCTGTAAATTACACATGAATTTAAACAAAATTTCTTGAACCCTAAACCCTAAGACTGGCCCTAATAACATAGCTTTCTATTTTTTTGTTTTTGTGTTTAAACATAGCCCTGTGTTTGGTTTTAGAAGGCTATGCATCTAAATTGACTGGCGTTTCCAAAAATAGCTGAAGTCAAAATTGCTCAGAGCATTTATTTTGTAGTGCCAGAAGGAGCAAAAGTCAAAAAAAAAACTTGAATGCTGTCGGCAAAAGTCCACTGTCCAAGTAACCTACATAAGAATGAACACATTGGGACCTCTCTCTAGACTTGGACAGATGGGTTTTTTTAATACATAATATTGTACTAAATTCAATATCCAACAACTTTGTCGTTAATTCTCCATAAAACCCTAAAACCCTAAAAACCGGTGTCAATATGTAAACACATTCATATATGGATGTTTATACTACAGAAGCATACTATTGATAGTAAATGTTCGTTGAAAATGGTAGTATTCTGATAGTACAATAGTATATATCGCGGGATATTGACCATAACACATAGATATAACTAGTTCTATATTGTGTTAGACACATGTGTGTCTTTGTACTGCTTGTTCAATTGCGTGAAGAAGTATGTATAAGTTTATTTGGTCGACTTTTGAAATCTCGTGCATCGCATGCACAAAATAAATAAAAATAAAATTTTCCCTATGCGATTGCTGAACGTAACATTCAACACAAAGTATGTTGAGGGCTACATACACAATATGTACGTTTCCTAGGCCTCGTAGTGAACTTTAAACGTGTACAAATTACACCGCTACATTTCAGGGCTTGTGAATTGGACTTGACAGTACTAAAACTCTTTCTATGTTTGAACCAGGCACCAGCATTTGTTGGTTTAACAATCAGCTAATATGGTGTATCATCCTCAATTGTATTACTGCGCATAGCACTCTCACCTGCATATAACCCTAGTAGCTCCTTTGCTAAAATATTTGATGGTTAGGAATCGTCTGATGATTGTTATACATCACCCTGTTAGCACATACTGCATTCGTAACAGTTAAATCCACAAAGAAATCATGCACCCGCATTTCCCACGACCTAGTGAAATGTCCTTCTTCGATAGACATACTATTACTTCTCAGATTATTATTGATGTCTACATCGGCCCTCCCCTTGTTGTAGTAATCTGAGTAGACGATAGGATACTGTATTTGATAGCCCTTGTCGTTCGTATAGCGATACACGCGGTTTCCAGTACGGTTAACAGTCCCATATGTCGCCGCACATATGCCTGTGTATTGAGCGTCTTTGAACGCGAGTATATATAAGTCTTTTTGCCCAGGCACTGCATCTTTGTTATAGTTGAAGGCTCTCTTCAAAGTTCCTACGGCAAAGTGTGGTTTATCTTCCATAAAGGCCTTGATTTTATCACCAGGGATGCCTTTGGGCCAACTGCCACGTTTCTTTGCAATAAACATGCCGTATAGCACGAATGTGAGTAGCACATGCAGCACTTCCAAGACTGAGAACCCGCTATCCGTGATGACTTTTCTATCCGATCCTTTCATACCACCAGTTAGGCGCATAACGATGCTTACAGTAGACAACTCTTCAGTGTACAATAGCCTCGGTAGGTATGTAGGTCTCACTTTAGTCTCGCAGAGATCTACTCTAAATATTTTATTCGTCTGACAGCATGCTACAGTTATCCACTCGTTGCCGAACTCCTTCGGCTTTCTGGGACGATTGATTTGGGTATAACCCGAAGGGTTATCCCAACCCAATATCGTTTCATCTATGCTCACTTTTGAACTTGTAAGGAAAAGTTTATACATATTAAAGTTCCAGGCTTCCACCAATTCACGCATGTAGAAGCCCTTATCATCTTTCTCATGTTGTGTTATGGGCGGCATACGTAGGGTAAGATTGCGCTGTATGTCAGTGTAGCGTGTCACCTTCATGAAACCCCCGAGATATGGCAGCGGATCAAGGCTGTCTCTATACATGTCCCAAAAATCAGCAACCTTCTTTGAATAATACTTAGCCATTATAAGTCTGAGCGCCAAACATGCAAAGTATTCCTTCACGTCTAGTACTCGCTTGTTTGCCTTTCTCAACGCTTGGTTTGTGGCCGAAATAAGTGTGTTCTTGACCCAATCCTTCGGTAGCAGATTAGTGAAGACGTCGGCATATGATTCATCTGAGGTAGTTTAGCATTAAAATTGCCTATGACTTTTTTTTGTCTGCTGCACACGTTTACGTCATATAGATCATTATCTAACAGAACATCTCCTATTTTGAAATTGTCGTCTAAGTGTCTAGTGTCAACGTCTACCTCTCAGGTCTCAATGCTATTATGAACACGACACACTCCTGTATCTACTTCTTCTGCAGTGCTATCTACAACTTGGTCACTTGATGTAAGTCTGTAAAATCAGCAGGTTCCTATAGTAGAAGCACATGTTAAAGTATATTATACGGTTATGAAACCTGGTATACGTTGAAAAACAATTGTAGATAATAGTATCTGTATAATAATCAAATAATCTACTTATAGATATATTGAATTTACAGAAAACAAACAAACAAATAATCTAATTTGGATATTTGGAATTACAGCTGGGTGAGTCTCAGGTGGTATTGACACTTGATGACACATGTTGTATTACCAAATACTCTCAGCGCGAGATAGCCTACTGAGAAATGGGACATAAAAATGATCCCCCTAGCCGGCCAACCAGATGTGCCCCTCTATGCCTTCAATGGGATGTAGAGCTAGGTACCATGTGATAGAGAGCTAAGTCCATGTGATGGGGTATAGGTACAGACATTTTAACTGTACCATCATGGTGTTTTTGATTGCTTTTATTTTTCTATTTTATTGGTAATTGCGATTGGAAGGTAATTCCGAGGCATGAAATGGTATAGAAGATAATATCATGCATCCAATGCAATGAAATCTGATCTTAGTTACTGACACCGAATAAATCTAGATCGAAGTATTGAGTGATTAGAGCGGAGTCATAAGGACAATAGTCTCAGTCTTACAACCCGTAATCATGTGCAAATTTACTATGAAATCTTACTTTTCTTTTACGTTAACTTGACTTTTACATTACTAGATCGAGATGAACTGCTATCAGTGTTAGTTTGTTGCCTATTGTTGTTAACATATCCAACACAGGTGACTGTATTGAATCCATTTCGGTCACTAACTTCTGGATCAAGTGTTATACCCTCTGGAGCTACCACTCTAGCTGTTCGCGTCCCATTAGGTGATACGACAGCATTTACACGCATGGGTTGTGCAGCATTGAGGCCTAGTAGTGAATTTATCGAAAAAGCCGATGGACGTTTTATTCATACGTGCAGTAGGAGCGATCACTGTATGAGATACACGTGTCCTAATAGTTGTTTAAGCAGCTGTGTGTAATGAAGGCCCTGGTGATTGCAGACCTTCCTGCAAGATTTGTGCGTGTGCGTCAGTATCAGAACGTACACGCTCGTACACCAAAACGCTCGGGTCTATACCTAATCTGTTCTGCTGTTCGATGTTGCTCAGTACACTTACTTTTTCTTTCCGCGGCGGCTTAGGTACTACATAGGAATAATATTATTTATTTCAAAAATGGCAAGTATATATGATACAATGTATGAACATATGGTATGGCTCTCATAGTCGCTGTGGTGGTTCAGGAAAGATTGATGGGAAGAAGTGGTCAGTAAATTCCCGTTTGTAGCTTGGGTCAAGTGAGTCGACAATGAAAGATATGTGCTGAGTCAATTCGGGCCGGCGTTGACAAAACACTGTTACTATCGAATGTGTCATATATTCGCTTGCTGACCTACTAAGTAGAGTACCCATCTCTGTGGTACGGATCGGGTCTGCGCCGTGTAGTG